AAAGCACTAAATTCTTTAACTTGAGATGTCTGGTTTTCTTTAACAGTAATTTTTTCCTGTTCCAACTCCCTCATCTTTATTGTAAAAACTCCTGTACATCCTGGCTCCTCCCCTGCCTCTTCGGAGCAGACCCTCAGCGACCTGAGAGGCTGGCATCCGGGGCTTAAGACCTCAGAAATGTCCGCCGAATAAAACGTAAGTCTCAGCTTTTAGCTTGTGCACTTTACTTCAGTCAACAGCCTCCTCAGATGATATGGTATAAATGTTAGCATAGAAGTCTGGAAATTTTATAAGGTTTCTGAGCTGTAGATATGGCTCCGTGTTATGCCATCAGTCACAATTCTAGTTATTCTAGTCATATTCTAGTTTCAGTCTAGTCATTGTCTTAAAATGCTGTATGCCACAGCAACTTGATTAAGCTTCTTTCTCAAAAACACTGTAACCAGATCTTTAACCTCGCCTTTTTAAGTCTTTCGTTATTCATAAACAGCTAAGCTGGTGCTTTGCAAAACTGCTTCATCTTCAGTAAGATTCATAGAAAGGACTTCCTGACAGGCACAGGTTCCTGTCAAATCACACAGCCGGGCTGGGTAAGATGTCGGAAAAGTCGTAAAACCCTTAGTAAAAAGGATTAATTACATAGGAATGAGTTAACAGGTGAATATGGTTATACTTTTTTGGTTTTGTCCGAAATACTACTGGCTTTTAATATATTATTTTCTAATTGAGTTATCAGATGTTTATCAATATTGAAAGTTACTTTACTTCCAACCATGTTGTTGCCTTCAGTGTTTAGGACAGAAAGAGAATTCTCTAGTGGAGCTGTCACGGTGTAACTGCTCACGATGCATAACGGTGCCTGCTCTACGTCTATTGCTAAAAGCACATGTACGACGCTTGTGGAACAATTGGGTGTAAGTGATAGAATGTAAAGCCAATAACGTGCTTCCCCATCAGCATACCTCTGAGCCTGTCCACCATCTCTGACTAGTTCTCCCCCAACGCGGATGACCAGGCAAATATAAAGGAGGCCCAGCCCCGAGGGACGTGATCTGAACATGGGGCAGGAGCCATCACCCCCATCAGCGCTGAGGGATGGGTATTTTGATCATCAATGCTTTCTACTTGAAAGATTTGCAGTCAAAAAGAGAAATGATGGGAAAATCTGCACATAGTGAGGTATGGGGAAGTCATTCTGGCCTACACACAGTTAAACTTCACTGACCAAAGGGGCCTGTTGTTCTGGCCTTTTCGACATGGATTGTACATCCGCTTTGACCTTGAGGAGGGGAATGCGTTTGAAAGTCGAAATGGAGTAGCTGTGCTTCAGACATTCAAGGTAAAACTAGGTGGCCCCCTGGGGGTGTGATTTCAGACAGGTTCTTGTATCTCTGAGAACTCAGATTCTAAGCTGTGTCCTTCTGGGGAGACCACCCACCGTTCTCCAAGCAGTGTATGCTGGCAGCTGGCACCTGCAGCCTTACGACCTTAAGGTCTCTTGTTTTTAACTACTAAACTTTTAGATAATAAAATTGTTTTAGATAAGATGTTAGCAGAACAAAGGAGAGGCGTAATGGCAGCAGCTCCTGCTGTTTGTGAATACACGTCAGAAGCTGAAACCTACTTAGATTAAAGCAGACAGCTGGCTACAATCTCCCACAAAGCGCCAGCCCCAAACTGGCTTTCAGGCTTGGGCCCCTGAATTCCTCTGGGAATGAGATCTGTTTGTCTGTTAAAGTTCTGGTTGTCACTCCAGCTACTTGTAATCGAGTCTGCTGGCACAAAAAGTGGGGAACTAAAGGACTGTGATCTTAATCATACAAGACTCAGATCCAGGACTTGAAGCTAGGGGGTGTTTTCAATGTGGTGCCCACCCCCAAACTGAGGCAGGACGAGGCCTCGCTTCGGCAGGAAGTCGCCAGAGCAGGAAGCTTTGGGGAAGGATAAAACAGGAGTGGAGACTGAAACTGTCCCCCTAAAACCGGGCTCCGCTGCCGAGTTTATGGTTAACCTCTCTGTCCAAAATGTCATTCCCTGCCTTGTCCAGCACCCGTTCTTATGACTGAAAAGTATCAAGAGGGGGGGACTGTAAGCAAGCAGGACCCTGTGGGGCCGTCTCGGGGCAGACCCCTCCCCTGTACCCTCTGCTGCGGCTCCTCTCTGTGGTACCCAGATCACAGTACCCCATGTCTGCTTCCTGAGTTTTTCAGATGCTGAAAACCACCACCAAAGGGAAGACTCGAACTACCTGATGGTCAGGAACACGTGGCCCCAGGCCTGCCGGCGCCTGGGGGTCGGCAGCGTTGGCCGTCCTGTTCCCTCCACATCAGCCCGCCAGGGAATCGTGCACGAGCTAATGGCCTACCTGCCGCCCGCCTTTCCTCGCTCGGCCCTGCAGTGAACCTGTCTCTGCTCCAGGCTCACATCGGGCACCCGGACGTGCCTTCGGCAGCATGGGTGCAGAGGGAAGGGAGTAGGTGGTGGATGCCTGCGGGGAGGACACAGTCCTGCCGGACCGCGGGGACCAAGAACCCGGGCTGAAACTAATTCCACTTGTCCCACTGACACATCCGGTCCCAGAGCCGCTCAGCCAACACCTAACCCACTCCCAGGGGACTGCCCCCGTCAGGGCAGGTGCCGGCTGGCCAGTGGGCAGAGCAAAGGTCACAGGCCACCGAGGAGGGGGTGGAATGGGGGCAGGGGTGAGTGCGCCACCTGCAGCCCAGGGCAGGGTGGGTGCTGCGGCCTCAGGACCCCAGCTCCAGCTCTGCCCCTGGCCCGGGACCTGCATGACAGCCGGCACCTCCTGCCGCTAAATTCTGTGCATCTGGCCACCTGCTGGACTGGGAGCCCGAAGGGCAGGGGCCAGAGCGTTCATCCTCCAATGCCTGGCACCCAGCCTGGTGCGAGGTGGCTGTCAGATGCTCAGTTGATGTTTACTGCTAATGGATCCTATGTGAAAAATGAATCTGTGCATTTTGTGCCTCTGTCTCAACGCGTGACTTCCTCCCTGCGTTGCATTTGTAAAACATGACAGTACCTTGGAGGAACTGGGCAGGGATAAGTGGGGACTGTGCACCCGGATGGGCTGAGGCCCGGAAGTCGCCCTGCTGGGGTCCAGGCTGGGCTTGCTCTGGGCTGGATGCCTCTGCAGCCAGAGGGGCCGGACTGCCCACAGCCAAAGGGGAGGGAGATGGCCCGGCACAGTCTCTGCTGTGTGCTCTGCGGTGGAAACCAGGCGCTCTGTTGTGGAGGGGGTGTGGGTGTGGGGGGTGTGTGTGTGTGTGGTGTGTGTTGACACGTGGTTTACAGATCTGGCTCACGGAGGTGGCTGGGCCCTCCTGGAAGTCCCCTCCGGCTGGCTGATCGATCCCAGGCCCCCAGCACCCACTCTACTGAAGCAGGGCTGCCTCCCGACCCTTCTGGGAAGTGGGGTCCCTCCACGCAGGGTCCGCAGGGAAGGGCTGCACCCACAGGGAAAGCGCTTCCTCGGGAGCAGCTGCCCTGGTTTGTCCCCTCCCTGCCGCCCTCTGGCCCCGCCAGCTCCTCTCTGCCAGGGCTGCCTGGCCCAGAGGACAGTGCAGCAGCCGAGGGTCCCTGCTGGCGAGCTCACAGGACGGTTCTCTTTAGCCTGGGGACCCCCAGCTGTAGCCTCTCCAAAACCCCACCAGAAATAACTTGTCACCTCCTAGCTGCCCCTCGTGCTTCTGCCCGCATCCCTCCTTCCTGCGGTGGGGCCACCGCTCCCAGAGCCAGAGCCTCCGCAGGGCGCTCAGCTTGTGTTCCGTGCTGCCCACCACGCGGGATGCGCGCATAGCCCGTGGAGGGGAGCCTCCCAGCTCGGAGGAGTGAGGACAAGAGCAGAGCCACCCTGTCCGTGGCACCTGCTTTGGAATCTCCGACATCCAGGCCCACCTACCTCGTGACAACTGTGTTCTGATCGATCCTGGCTTTGAGGTCTTCATTCTGCTGCTGGAGAACTTGGATCTTTTCTTCCAGGATAATGTTCTTTTCCGCCTATAAAAGACAGGGTGTCAAGAGGTGAGAAGAAGTGAGGCCATGTGACGGATGGTAGCCCCGTGCCCTTGGCCTCTGGAGGATTATCAAGAACCGTGTTTTTCATCCAGCAGTTGGTAAAGCATTAAGTCGGCTGTAAAATCAGGTTAGAGGGACGTGACCAACATTTCTTTTTTAAACAAAACAAAACAAAATAACCTGCATGTCATCAAAGTAAGTACTGTTATCTGTATTTTCCTTTTATATAATGTGTGTGGACTGGTGCAGACAGTGGATTACACAGTGCATGTGTATACACACAATATGCGTTTGTGCCTACACTGGAGTCCTGTGTGGCACAGGTTTCTCTTAGCGAGTGTCTGAGTAAACCAGCTTCGTTCAGAGCTAGGGAACGTTGGCCGTCGGAGAAGATCAGTTACCGAGCTGGTAAGGGGCAGATCTGCTAACAGAAAGAAAGCAGGATACGAAACACTTGCATGTCTGTGTGGGGTCTTTGGGGTGTGCACACTTGTACAGAGGACAGGCTCTGGAAAGTTAACAGTGGTAGAAATGTATTTTAATCTTCCAATTTCCTATGATGCACATCTTTTTACAATACCAAACGTTTGTTTTAAATATAATAAAAAAGGAATCTATTCTTAGACCCTTGGGCCAACCTTCCCAACAAGACGGCATCTCCCTGGAAGCCGGCTGCTGCTACTAGCTGTGGACGACTCAGCTGCAGCCCTTGCCCCCATGGGGTACGGGGTAGGGAGTGAACTTTCCAGTTCTGTTCCCCCAGGGGGCGCCCTTTGTTAGTTCCATGGGAACCGGGCTGAAAGGTGAGGCAGAGAGTGTGCTGTAAGCAGGGACCTGGAGCTCTGGGCCGGGGCTCCCACCTGGACTGGACCACTTCTTGGTTCTGGGTGAGGCATGACCTCTTCCTAAGCCTCTGTGTCCGCATGTGTAAAAGGAGGCCCCTGACAGCACCTGCCCCGGTGCACTGCTGTTGCAGTTAAAGAACAAACACGCAGAAGGTGTCTGCACGGAGCTCGGTGCCCACCAGTGATGCTCGGCCCACATGTCCCCGGGAGGGGTGAGGCGTTAGCACGTCACAGTGCAGTGCAGGCGGGTCATCAGAGGGGCCCCAGAATCCTACAAATGAGGCCACCTCTGAGATTCCTTATCAGAACTTCTGGCTTCCTGCCTGAGAAGGGACTTGAGATGCAGCGGTGGCATTTTCGGCTCAGGTGTAGCCCCGCCCCCTTGGCCTGGTAAGCCCCGCCCCCCACCTGAATGCTGTGAACACGGATGGCAGAAGAGGTTACTGGACCCTCGAGGAAAGAGGCTGACTCACCAGCTTTTCCAGCTCAATAATCTTCTTTTCCTGCTGGTGTATTTGCTGATTCTTCATCTCTAACACCTGCTTCAGACTCTTCATGTCTTCCTCCAAGTGCTGATAAGGAGCCAGGGCAACCTACAAGGGCAGAGAGCAGGGAGCTAGTAACCGGGGGACCCGGCAAAGGCCAGCATTCACCGGCGTCACCAGTTCAGCTCAATCTAGTCTTTGTTAACAAGCTTCCTAACAGGCACCGGAGAACGTGAGCAAGAGGGAGGGGGAGAGGGTGCGCAGAGCCTTCCCCGATAAAGACGCCCACAAGTCCCCGCTGGGACCGCTACCACGAGTCCAGCCCCTTGGGAAGCAGGAGAGACGAAGCCATCGCTCCCTGAAATGTCGGATGCTGGGATGGCCGGCCTCTCCCAGCCCAGCCCCCAAGGGGAGCTTAGGGGACAAAAAGAGAAACTTCGATGCCGCCTTTTAACATTCGCCCAGACGACTTGATTCAAAAGACAGGTGGGGATTTACAGGCCCTGCCCTCCACCCTGCGTAGGAAATGAGCAAAAGTGGTTTAAAAAGCAGAAAAGGCATTGTAGAAAAAGAAATGTCTGGGTCAGGTTGCCAGATGGGACCAATTAAAAAATAGGCTGTTAAGGCTGAATTTCGCATGAACAACTTACTTTGTAAAGATTGTGAGAGACATGCTTATTACGAACAGAAATTCATTTACCTGTAATTTAAATTTAACTGGGGGTCATGCATTTTATCTGGCAACCCTACATTAGAGAGAAGAAATTTTGCCCACTTTTAGGAGTGGTCCCAGGCCCAGTTTGTCACAGATGCTCGGGGCAGTGGCTGAGGAGCCATGTGGGATGCGGCAAGAGTAACACTTAGATGGAGAAACCCACAGGTGTCCTGACTCAGCAGCGATGCCGACAGGTGTACATTTAAATCCCTGGGAGGCCCTGACCAGTGTTGCTCTGGCAGCAGGTAAGCACCGGGAACCTGACTTCGGGGTGATGATGGGGAAGCCCTGGGCACCCTGGGGTCCAACAGGGTGGCCTCGCAGTGCTGGGTGGCCAGGAACGCGTGATACCTCCAGCTGCTCTTCAGTGTTTTTCCTCAAAGCCTCTTCGAAGCGCCGGGCTCGGTCCCGCAGAGACTGGCTCTGGAAGGTCAGTGTGTCCACCTGGTCCTGCAAGAAATGCACAAAGCGGTCCACTGCAGATGCCACACCTGGGAGGCGGGGGTGATGGCTGCCACTTGGCCCTGGGGGCTCCTCACGGGGCAGCAAGGTCAGAGGCCCTCCATTGACCTTGGAGAGGACAGACTTCACTTATGGGGCAGCACCATCCAGGGACCTGCCACCCAGCTCTGACCCCTGCTGCCCAGGAGGCCAAGGGGAAGCCAGAAGAAACTCCACCAAAAGGGCATCGCCTGCTGGAGGGAGATTCGCCCAAATGCCCCCGTGCTCCCAGCCTTGGTGCCTTGTCCAGAACGGACCACAAAACATGGGCAGATGACTTTGGCTGCTGCACAGAAAGCGCACTGACGCTGTAGGGGGGACCCAAAGCAGGCGACCCGACTCTGAGTGCCTCCTGAGATGAGAACGCTGTCCTCACCCCCTTCCCCCACAAGCAAGCTTGCAGGGGAGCAGTTAATAATTTAATATCTGATATGATATGTCACTTATAAAATGACACAAATGAACTTACTTACAGAACAGACTCAGACATAGAAAACAAATTTATGATTACCAGTTGGGAAAGGGCGGTGGGAAGGGATAAATCGGGAGTTTGGGATTTTCAGGTACACACTACTATGTATAAAAAAGATGAACAACAAGGCCCTACTGTACAGCACACGGAACTATATTTCATACCTTGTAATAGCTTATAATGAAAAAGACCATGGAAAGGAATGTATATATGTACAACTGAATCACCATGCTGTACACCGGAAATTAACACAACATTTTAAATCAACTATATTTCCATTAAAAAATTTAACATCTGACCCTACAAAGGCAGACAATCAGCAGAGAGGCATCTCCATCCTAGGGGGGCTAGCGGCCCCCACTTCAGGAGGCACAATTAATCCATCTCACAGAAGAACTATCCTCATTTATTCAGGCCAGAAACTGTCAAACCGACCTTTACGCCTCTCTCTGCCTGAGCCCCTCCCCCCACCACTAAACACACTGACATCAGGTCGATGGTCAAGTCCTGACCATTAAGCCTCCTTCATGTCCCCGGATCCACAGACACTCCTGATCCCACTCCCACCACCTGGCATCGGGCAAGTCGCTGAACCTGCCCCCCCTGCATAAAACCCAGTGTCCTCAAGATGAAGTGATACCCTGACGCAGCCTCACAGCCTCCCCATCAGCCTTTCTCGTCCTCGCTTCCCCCACTCCATCCTACTATCCCACTCCCCCTCAGCGGTGCCTGCACTGCCAGCTACTTCTGTCCTCCCTGGGCAGCAGGGGTCAGGGCTGGGCGGCAGATCCTGCATGGAGCTGCCTCCTCGTTGGAATCTGTACTGTTCAGGCCCCTCCCCGACTCGAAGGACACTCCTGCCCCCAGAGCCTGCCAGCCAGGGGCTGCCCTGTGTGTGAAGATGGAAAGAAGGAAGGCGCGTGAGAAGGCACGGTGCCCCAGCCTCCAGGACAGAGGTCCCCACACCGAGCCCTCTTCCGGCGGCCCCAGCCCTGCCTGATGGCCGTGGGCAGCAGGGGGAGCCGGGCGGCGGGCTTTTTCCTGATGCTCGAGCAGTGACGAGATGGTGCCTCCCTCGTGCCAAGAATTTGAAGTTCTCCCCCCAACGTCACCACTTCTGTAACTTTAGAACAAGGACTAGGGTTTTCCTGTGGACTCTTCTAGCAAGACAAGTGGCCTCAACCCACCAGTGTCAGCAGCGGGCCGTGGCAAAGGATGGAACGGCGCGTGGGAGCACTGCAACCGACCGGTGCCGGCGTGACTCCTTTCTTGTCATCAGAGAACCCTGCTTTGCAAACCATCCTGGGTGGGTTCCTTTTCCTTCTCTCTCTGTTTTTCCCAGTTACTTCCATTTAACTTTTAAGAAATAAAAGTCCCCACGGTGCCATTAAATGCAAATGCTAGTGCATTAGGGCAAGAGTGTCAGCGGGAGTTCGAAGGCACCGGAGCTGACAAATGTAAACCACGTAAATCAGGCCCAGGGCAGCCGGCTGGGCCCCAGCACGCATGCGTGGCTGCCGCAGTTTCCCCCACCCACCCACCCCAGAGCTGGGCTCTAGAAATGACGGCAGGGCTCCATGACTCCTACACCAAGCCTCTCAGCATCGCAAGAGCAAGCGTACCCCTCAAGCCTCTTCTCCTCCATTAAAAACAAAGCAATGAAAAACTCATCAGGCAAATACCACCGAGGCTGCATCTGAAATATCGCACTGTGGTTTTTCTCCTTTAATCACCATTATTCAAAGATCAGGGTCTGCAGGCGCACGACGGTGCCGCCGCAGTCAGACAGGACACGCTGGTTTTCAACGTGGGTTGGCTCCTTTAACGTCAAACTAAGAGGCACAGAGACCCAGCTGGTGACCTGGCCTCACGTGGGCCACTCAGAGTTAACCGGGGTTGGATAATAAGGACACTGATAAGCTTAGCAACACCTGAAGCCATTATAATGGCGACAGCTGCTGCTTGGTGCTCTCTACACGTCCACGCGATGGAACAAAACCATTTTTAAGGCAGGACAAGAAAATTTTTAAACATAAAATTCTCTCTCTGCCTATTTGGGCCATTACACTTCTTTAGTGTGCCCTTTAAGTCTGCATTATACGTTAACAAGATCCCCTGAGAAGACACAGGAATGCCTGCTGGCAAAAAAAAAAAAAAAAAAAAAAAAAGGAAAAAAGCAATTTTCTCCCACAAGGTAACTCCTTAGGAGATAACATTCCTTTCCTTTCTCAATCCTGTAAGGGGTCGTGATGCCCCACGACTTGCCCTGTTGGATTACGTACGTAAACTGTCGATATGTTGCTTGGATGTATGACCCTTTGTCTCAAAACTTATATAACGGTGCTTTGACCTCTAAGAGGCGGGACAGCCCTCAGAGCTTTCTGAAAGACTGTCTCCTGGGTCCTGACCCTCACGTTGGTTTGAATAAAATTCTTCATTTCTTTCTTAGATTGACAATTGATTCATTTTTTGTTGACACATATTATTTCCCTAAGCTGCTCACACGGTGAGGAAGGAGCTGCTGTCATCCCCATTTGACAGTGAGTCAACTAAGGTTTACAGCTTATGTAACTGTACAAGAGTACAAAGCTATTAAGAGGAGGTACAGTGGGGATTTAAACCAAAACTCAAATTTTTTTTTAGCCCAAACCCGTTTCTCCAGCTGCCGGTAGCCCAAGGAGATTGGCTTAAGCAAGTCCATCCTCCCCGCACCAGAAAACCTCCAGCTCAAATGGATTCTGCCCCTGGAGAGTTACAACTAAAATGTGCACAATTCAGGTCCGTGTGATGTTAGTGGCGGAGTGAGGACTCACAGATGAAACAGAACTCTCACTTCTTTTGGTTTTGGACTGGGTGGGGTTTCTGTTACATCATAGTTCAGTACGGCTGTTCCTTTCCTGGTTTGTGTTCCTTAAGGATGCTGTATTTGGATGGCGTGTGATGTCGGGGACATGAAGAAGGCAGTTTGGGGCGAATCTGCCAAGCACTGGCCACAAGAGGAGGACACGGGCAGAGGCAGGCCCCCTGACGGAGCCACTGACTGAAGGGCTTGCAGGAAGCGGTTTCCCATTTAAAAATTTTTGACTAGTACACTCAACAGTTGTGACACTCCACACCTCTAGATTCCTCTCAGGGCAGCGCAGGCTCTGCGCAGGGAACGCTGCCTGCGGACAGTGAGTCATCAAAGAAGCAAAATTCCCCTCCTTGTATTAGGCTTAGGGTAAGCGCCTTCCCCAGTTTCCAGACGCGAGTGCCCCTGGTATTTACAAGCGAACCTCTCTGCGTCTGGGAGGGGAAGCAGGGCCACCAACCCCCACCTCACTTCCCCAGCAGCCCCTCCCTAGGGCTGGGGGTGGTCAGCATCTTTTCACGGAAGCAGCTGGCCGGGGTCTCTGGGAGGCAGGAGGGAGGGAAGGCGCGTGATCTGGGAGACTCGTCCCTCTCCCCTTCGAGTTCAGAAGGAAGCCAGGCAGTGCCCTTGGCATCTGAGACCACGTTCTCAGATAGCAGGTAGGCTGGCAGTGGGACGCTGAGAAGCTTTACCTCTCACCCACCTCCAGGAGACTCGAGTTTAGATTAGACTTCCACTCCCAGAACATGTCCTATGGCTTCTGCCCCACACGACTCTCCTGACACCACTCCCCCCACCTAGGTCCCCGCCTTCAACCCCAGCTCAGTGACTCCTCTGACCGCAGCCCGTGCTCAGAACTCCCGTGGCGGTGCTGGTGAACAGTTTCATTCATTCTGTGCAACTGTGTGTTATTGTCCATGATGGTCTGTCCCTATTTGTGTCACAGCCCTGAGGGGACAGTAAATTCCTTAAGGGCAGGCGTATGTCTTATTGACCTCCATACTCCAGTGCGTGGCACAGGATCGAGTCCTTTGCAGGTGCTGGATAAATGTTTGTGGACAGGAATAAGGATGCTGCCGTTCTCCTGATGTCACAGTTAAGGAAATACTAACCTGGAGGGACAGCCGCAGCTTTTCAAAATTTTCTTCTAATTCTTTCTTTTCAAGCTCATGGGTAGAGATCAGTTCTGGAGAGAAAATATCAAACTATTAAAATGACCTTGAAAACGACCAAACAGGTTTCTTTTGCCAGCTAAGACTAATGACGTCAGCGAATGAGGGGCCCATTAGACAGCACTCTTTAGCCTAAAGAGACGTCTCCATTAGTTTGAAATGGAGTGAGATGTTATTTAGGAGAGAGAGGGAAAGAAAGAGGAAGGGGACAGGAGGAAGGGAGGGGGAGAGGGAAGAAAGGAGAGAAGCAGAGCACAAGCACACACACACACATGCACGTGCACGCAGGCACACAGACACTCCCACTCACTTCTGTACCCAGCTCCGCCACCATCCTGGCCAAGTCAGTCTCCATTCACAGCACTCACTGATTTCCCAACTTCTCCTAATGGTAAAACCACTGGGTAATTAATGCGAAATCTCCATTTTCTTCCCTTCCCAGAATCACTCTTCCTTTCCACCAGGAAGCAGCAATCGGGAGCTGAAGCAGCGAGGTTCCAAGGAGGGGAGCGTGGGCTCGCTGGGGAACGGTCGGGTGAATGTGCCCAGCGCTGTGTCTGCAAGGTCACCTGGGCGGCCTCTGGGCCGCTCTCCGGAAACCGCAGAACACTAGAATTTGCTTGAGCAAAAAGTCGACGCTAAGATACTCAGAAGGAAAGACTAAGTGGACTGGTTCCTCCTGGAGAGTTTGGGACAATTCTGTTCTGTGAAAAGTGTCATTCTGGTAATAATTTGCAAGTTAAGCAGAAAGAGATGTCATGTAAGAGTTATTAAACAAATGGATTCTGTTTTCCTCCAGATGGGAACAGTCTTATTAGCGGGGTGAAGCCCACCTCATTCTGGCTACACAAGCAATTTGTTTTCATGTTATAACTGGAGGGAGGAAAGGTCTCATTAATCAGCCTGGATCATATGCTTAGCACAGGAGACTACTAGAGACCAGCAATTACCCTTCTGGCTGGCATGAGCTGCAATTAGGAAAAACTTTGTGGTTTCCATCAACCCAACCTTTTAACTAATGATGCTGAAGGTCTCTAAGAAACCCAGTTGTTATGGCTGAAAGTTATGGTCAGGAAAAAAACACTTGTCTATTCCTATTAACATAAACAGTGTGGCCTTCTGGTCTACCTGCCTTTGTCTAAATGAGTATTTTTAATAGTCATTGAGAGCACCATAATAATGAATTTTTTAGCTACCATTATATACACTTACATTATTTTGACATTGCATATAATTCACAGGCCCTGGGTGTGGCATCTAAGTGAGACTTCATTAACCAGAAAAATCTACCAGGTCTTTTTATATGAAAATCCAGAAACAAAAGGCACTGTTACTGTCCCATTTCCATTCATATTCCCATCCCAGAGACCGTCTTCCTGCAGTTCAGTGACGGCTCTTGGGCATTTTTAGGTGATCCCAACACCTCACAAGAGAAGTCAGTATCAGTTCTGAAGACAGCATGAACCATGGTGACTCATCTACATACCCATGGCATATTTCACTATCTTAAGGTCATGACACTCTGTCCTATGCTTAATACTGTGCTCTAAGACAGTGGTTCTCAAATTCTGCGGCATATTAGAATCACCTGAGGAGCTTTAAAAAATCCTGACGCCTAGGCTGTACCCCAGAGCAATTAAATCAGAACCTTTGTAGTGAGATCTACCCCAAGTATTGAAAAAAAATTCCCCAGGTGGTTCTGACGTGCGGCCAAGGGTGGGAACCAGTACTCCAGCGTGAGATGTGCTCTCAGGACACAGGTGACACATTTCACTAGTTCTCAGGGAATTCCTCTCCCTTGCCTCCGGCTTGGCCTTTTTCATGTACTGACAGATCTCAGAAGTGGTGGGGCTGGTGCGTGCGGTGGGGCAATACCATGAGTATTGATTACGGCACAGGCACAGTGGACCTTGATGTTTACAAAGAACATTTAAAAAAAATTATAAAAAAAACTCTGATGTTAATTCTCAAATTTTTTAAATGCATTAATGTATTGTTAAATGTACTGTTTCAATATTTTATTGTAAAAACATTTGTTTTATTTTATTTTTGGGAGTAATTAGGTTTATTTATTTCTTTATTTAAAAGGAAGGACTAAGGATTGAACCCAGGACCTCATGCATGCTAGGCACACGCTCTACCACTGAGCTAGACTCTCCCTTCCGCTTGTTTTAATATACTTTAACAACCAGCCAACTGGAGGGCAAAAGTGAGGAAAGTGGAACTTGAAAAATAAATTATATATCTGTTAATGTAAATGCATGTTAAAGTATAAAAAGTTTCTTTTACAGATTCAAACTCTTATTCATACTTAGTAAATATTGCTGTTGTTATGACCCACATAAAACCCTACAAAATTACAAAAAATAAAAGATACAAATTAAAAAAAAAGATCCTGAGACTCCACTGACGTCCACGGTGGCTGTGAGGGCAAGGTGTGCAGACCGAGACCCAATCAGAGACTGGCAGGCCCTGAGGACACCACACGCGTGGGGAAATCAGGAGGCCACAAACGAGACAAAGCCCAGGAGTTCCACACCTATGTTAGAGCAGCGATTCTCAAGCCGGGCTCCCCATTAGGATCATTTAAGAGCTTGAACAAGTTTTGATGTCCAGGCTGAACCCCAGACCAGCTACACAGAGCCCTGGGGTGGGACCAAGGCTCCCCAGGGATTCCAATATTCAGGTAGGATGGAGAGTACTGGCGCCAGAGGAAAGGAGTGGTCACTTAGACCCTAGATTTCTCTCTCTTCTTGCCACAGGAAGCCACACAAAGGACATCCCAGGAAGGAAAGGGAGGAAGGAAGGAGAGAGAAGGAAGGAAAGGGAGGGCTCCCTGTGTCAGCTGCAGGAAGGGGTCAGCGTGCATGGTCCACCCCTGCTGGCTACACACATCAGGGCTGGTAGCTACCTTGGACCTTGTGGTCGTGGTCATCCTGCAGGATCGCGATGGCAACCGTGTGGCTGTTTTCCATCTCGAGGAGAGCAGCCTCATGGCTGGCGGTGATGTCTTCCACCTGCAGGAGATGACAGCTCTGGTTATGCAGAGAGCTAGGGGACGGAGGACTGCAATGCCCTCGCTGCCTGGAGGACAGAGGCGGAATTCAATGAGTGGAAAGGTCAGTAGCCCAAGCATCAAGGACATGAGATGACAGCCAGCCTCAGCCCTGTGCCGAGGCAGAGGATCCAGGATCTGGTGGTGAGCGGGCAGCCCTGGAGTCAGGTGGATGTCACGTGGAAGTCGCTGCCGCAGCTCAGCTGATCACACAGGAGGAAGCAGCTCCCAGGGGGCGGAGGGATGTCTGCCTAAGCCACCTCTTTACTGCCCTGGGCCTCTTCTGGACCATTTCCTTCCACCCCGTTCCTCCCCCTTCCACCAACTACTCTATGAGAAAAAGATGAGGGTCCCCCCTACCAGACAGTCTGTTCTGCTCCCCTGTGGTAGGTGGGAGCCACAGTACACAGGTATCTGGAGGGAACTAACATTGATTAAGCTCTCGATTACTCCACTCAACCTCACAGCTATATAATACAGTAAACACTGTTGTGCCCATTTCCCAGATGGGGAAACTAAGGCTTAGAGAGGTTTGAAATGTTTGGCCCAAGGGCTAGTAAGCAGCAGAGCCTGCAGTCAGCCCAGGTCTGTCCAACTCCCAGGCAAAGCTCTCTCACACACACCTCCGCTGCCTCCCTGGCAAGACCAGCGGTCAGTGCCCCAGACAAGTGGATGGGTCTGTGTGTGCTCCCCGCATCTGCTTCTCAACAGAGAGTTCGCCTCCAGCTCGGTGCGGGCCTCCCCCACCCAGGCTATGGGAGTTGCTCCCGGGGGCTACTGTGTCTCTGGCTGGAGGTACACGTCCCCGAGCTTAACCACAAGTCGTGTAGCCAGCCCAGGACTTTTTATTTTCACCCGCCCTGATCTCCGACCCCACTACACACCTACTCTCTTGACTGTCGCTGTGGCTATTTTAACTTCAAGTTTACAGGGGTAATTGCACAAAACCACCTCTCCCTGTGATAGCAAACCAGACAACGTCTTTCCAAATTCTCTGTCAGCGACTCATTGTAAAAACAACACTGTACGTTATTTTACACACACGCACGCGCGTGCGTCTGTACGTGCAAAAGCAAAGCTTCACAAAGTGACACTTCCCTTTCCTATCTGCAAAAATTTGCTTTAGAAATTTTTATTCTATTTTACTTTGTTTTTTCCAAAATGCTAGTTTCAAACCACTAGATTCATTTCATGACTGGCTAATGTGTCAAAACCTGACACTTAAATGGCACTGAACCGGCAGAGGCACCCAGGCTCTGAAGCTCTTGGGTGGGCCAGTTCAGAACATCTGCCTCTCGGAGGGTCTCCTTTCTCTGGGGATAATTCACAGGCTGGTCTCTGACCTGTAAGGAGGAAGAGCTCTTCGCAAGAACGGAAGCCCACTTGTGAAGGGGACACATGGGCGTGTTCACCACTGAGCAGGACCCTGCGGGGCCTTCCAGGGTCAGCCCCCTCTCCCATGTCCTCTGCTGCAGCTCCTCTCTGAAGGACCCAGATAACAGTATCTCATGTCTATTTCCTCCACTTTTCAGATGCTTAAAACCACCACCAAAGGGAAGAAATGAACTACTTGATGATGGAGAGCATGTGGCTCCCAGACCTCCCGGAGCCCAGGGATTGACAGCGTTGACCGCCCTGTTACCTCTACGTCAACCCCTCAGAGGATTGTGTGCGAGCTGATCATGTACCCTGGGACCCCCACCCCCTCACCTGGCCTTTTAATAGGCTTTGCTGAAACCCTTCGAGGAGTTCGGGGTTTTCTTGGGCAGGAGCCACCCCGTCCTCCTCGCTCGGCCCTGCCATAAACCTTTCTCTGCTCCAGACTCGTGTTTCAGTTTGTCTGGCCTCACGTTGTGGGGGGCACACGAACTTGCTTTCCATAACATTTGTGTTTTAAAATGGGATAGACCCACACTCCAGATACCAACTGGGGAAAATTTGCCCAACTTTTCTCTTCTATGGTCAACGAGACCTTCATCCACTAAAATGGAAATATTTTTAGAGCAGGCAGATAGCTAGATATGAGCAGAGAAAGAGGGGCACAGGGAAAATGGCAGGAATTGGGCAGAAAGGAGGGGCACAGGCCAAAAGCAGGAATCCACACATCATGCAGGCACCAGAGGTCCCTGGACAGAGAAAGAAAAGCAGGAACCTGTGGAATGGTAAGTGGGCACACCTTTTGGGGTGATGAGCGGCCTGGAGGCCCACAAAGAAAGGTGGGAAAAGGCAGGAGTCTCCAGTGTCTGAATGTAACCTTTTGTTCATTATGCCCTCATTTCAATAAAGTTAGTCTTGCAGATTAGAAGTACCCATCATGCACTGATGCCATGACACTTCTGATCCAGACTAAATAAGGACAAAAATCCTTCTCCCCTCGGGAAGGTGGAGTTGGGATGAAAATCAGGGAATACCATCCCAAACCCTCGCCTCCCCAATAAATATTCTGCTCGTTCATTTTTACACTTTATGTAACCAACTTGCAAAGAAACTCAGCGCAGCCACTCCCCTGAGCCTGCCCGCCCTCCCGTTGACAGTGTACTATCCATCCCTTAATAAATCCCCATTTTACATTCTTAACCTCTACGTCTTGTCTCTGAATTCTTTCTGGGACGGGACAAGAACCTGGAAACCTGTTACATCTACCAGCAACAACGTCACTGGCAAAATCGACAATGAACTTCACGGTATTAGGACACCCGCATGAAAATGGATGTGGTTTTCAATGATTCGCTTTTCTTCACCAGACATTCTTGATTAAACAATATTTCACTTGAAGTTGAGAGCTATGAATCCACTCAGCAGAAGGCTGATGACCACAGGATTTAATTGTCCAAATCCTATTTGAAGCTTTTTTTTTTTTAACAGAATCTTTGTCCAAAAGTCTTTCAGTCTCCAGGAAAAACAAATCACTGGCCAAAAGAAAAGAAAAGGAAATATCTTTTCCCTATGCTCCACTAGTGACGCCCCTTACGCCCACAGCACACAGTCTGCAGGTGCAAGTACCACACGTTGTTTGGAAGCATGTCACCCAGCTCAGTATAAAGAAAAACCTTCCACTGGTCCTTAGCATCACTCTAATTTATTGGGCTCTTACACAAATTGCCATGGGTGATTTCAGAAAAGAGAGATGGATGCAAGGACTAATTCCAGAAGAGTCCCTTGTGTCTCTGGCGGTGGAATCTACCCTCATTGGCAAGGTTT